CAGTGATTTTTTTTCAAATTTTTTTTCACTAGAAATTCAAACTTTTTCCATGTTTGTTGAGCAAAAAATTGACTTTTTCAGCGATTTTTTTTCAATTTTTTTGTTTTGCAAAAAATTGAATTTTCCTGCTAAAAAAATTTTGCAAAAAAAAATGAAAAATCGCTGAAAATCTAGTTCGAAATCTAAATCCCACGTGGCAAATTCAGATTTTAAAGGAATATTTAGACAGACAATTAGAGATTCTAGAACAGCGGAAGAGGAGAGAGGCAAAAAAATAGACAGAAAAACTCGATAAGAGGGAAAAATTGGATACAATCGGGAGGTGAATGACTCATCGCACAAGAATTTTATTGAAAATAGAGAGAGGAACACAGAAAATCAAGAAAAATATCACAAAATATACATAAATAGTGAGATAGAGAGAGAGAGAGAGAGATCAACCTGTAGCACACGAGATGATTGTGGGAGTTTTGTACAAAAAATCACAAAAAACTATGAAAATTAACCCATTTTGGGCATTTTAAGACTCGGGTCCTCCCTATGCGTCCCGAACAAGTTCCAATGATGATTGACAGTGTACTTCTCGCCCTCGTACGTCTCCTCCCACGTCTCCTTCACATATCCAATGTTCTCGGGCAGCGGAGACTCAATCAGCGCCTTCAGAAGATCCTCCTTGAGCAATTCGTGGGTGGCAAGAGCGTCCAGTCCATCGAGAAAGTTGGTGACATTCTTAAAATCCGTTTTCCAAGTCTCCGGATCGCCCATAGGTGGGAGACTGGGGTCTGCTGTACGCTTTCGGTGCTTATTCCACCGGCAAGCGCTGTTCCAGCCCGCGTCCAGGGTTTTTCCCATTGATTCGACGCCGTCGAACGAGATGTCCTTTTTGATGGTCTGGAAAATTTTTGAATTTCAATTTTTTCGCAAAAAAGTGAACTTTTCAGCGATTTTTCAAAACATTTTTTTTAAAAATTGAATTATTCAGCGAATTAAAAAAAGAATTTTTGCTAAAAATTCGAATTTTCAGCGATTTTAAGAATTTTTTTTGCTAAAAATTGAATTTTTCAGCAATTTTTAAAAAATAAAAAAAAAATATTTTTTGCAAAAATTTGAATTTTTCCGCAATTCTTTAAAAGTATTTTTTCTAAAAATTCGAATTTTCAGCGATTTTTCAATTTTTTTCTGCTGGCCGAGCCGAGTGGGGAGTTTTCTAGGCCAACCGCGGAGCGAAAAGCGCGCGAAATTTGAATTTTTATTGACTTTCAGGGTTTTTCAAATCGATTTCTAAGGTTTTTGTTAATTTTCTCCCAGATTCATTTAAAAAATCTGAAAAATTCGAATTTCGCGCGCTTCTCAGCAGTTAGCCTTGAAAACTCTCACTCGGCCACTAGGCTCTTTCTAGACATTTTCAGCGAATTACTGTGTGAATTTACATGATTTTCTGCACATTTTGAACTTTAAAATGATGGAAAAACAATAAAAATCGACAGAAATCATCCGAAATTAGACAAAAAATCTGGAAAATTCAGACAAAATTTCCAAATTCTTCAAATTCCTTACCTCATCAAACAAATGATTGACCGCCCAATCGCGAGCCTTCTCGTGCTGAATCCGCGCGCCCATCGCGAGGAAATACTTCTGGAGACGTGCATTGGCCGCTTGAAAAATCGCATGATACGCCATATCGGGACGCTTGTTCGTGTCCCATTCTTCGACCGCTCGCCGCATATGCCATCGCTCTTGTGGGCCGTCAGCTGGAACGTGGAAGGGCATGCTTTCTAGAAATTTCCAGATTTTTTGACTAGAATTTAATGGAAAAAGGGGCGCTAAAAGGTAGAAAAGCACTCCACTCGAAAACTGTTCTAGAAACCTCCAATTTTCAGAAATTTAGCAAAAAAAGCAAGAAAAAAGCTTTAAATTTCGAATTCGCGCTTTTTTCGAGGCGAATTTGGCTGCGTACCTCTTAAGCACGCAAAACGTTTGATCCTCAGTCAACGAAAAGTTTTCGTTCAAAAATGCAAAAATAGTGCAAAAAAGAGAGAAAAAACACTTACATGAAAAGAAAAACAAATCTGGAAGATAGGCGAGCATTTGCCTTGCGAATTGCGATCTGAAAATCGAAAATTTAATTGAAAAAAGGGGAAAAATGTTGTGAAATTTGAAAAAAAAATAATTTTTTTGCAAAGAAGGCTTATTCTGACAAATGTATAGCGAGGAATGAAAGCTTTACTCTCTTTGAAAATCAGCACTTTCTCATGTGATATACCTTTGGGAGGATATAATATGGGTTATATGCATGAAAGGAGATTGAGAGCAGGAAAACAAACAAGATAACAAGAAAACGAAATAAGAATCTAGTTTGGAACCTAAACAAATTCAAAATTCACAACAAAATTCGAAAATCAAAAAATTAATTATCCACGTCGAAAATTCCTGAAGACGTCACGGTGCGGAGATTGATCGGAAGCACGTCTCCGTCTCGCCGGGCGCGCATCGCCGTGTACATTTCACCGTGTTTCTTGGACAGTGTAACGCGTTGAATTCCGCGAAACGCCGTGCAAACGTCGCACGTCACGTGTCCACCCAGCTTTCGATTTTTCAGAATGCGTTCCGTGTGCGCGTTGATTCTCCGGGGCGCTTTTTCAAGAATCATGAAGGTGAACTTGGTTTCTTCCGTTCCATCGGCCTCTCTGGAATTATTAGGGGTCCATCACTTCTATATCATTTCCGCCGAATCCTGGTCCGATAACATGTCGAAAAATGTGTTTTGGCGCGTCCAAAGTTCCCAAATTTGGGATTTCTGGGC